AGTTAATGTGGTAGACGTGAAGAGGGGGAACGAATTTGAACCTTGACATGGAGTTACGAAAGAGCAAAAGGCCATTGTTTCAGTAGTGTCTTGTCCTTTGTGAGGGAAAATGGCTGTCCAAGGGATTACCCCATCCCAGCTCTGCTGGCTGCTGCACTGGCATCTTCCTGTGCCTTTCTCAACTCTGCTGTTTTCTCTTTTGGTTCAATGTCTTCTATTCTGTTGAAGTCAGTAGACAGCTGATGCTGTACATATAGGAGGAGAGTATCTGTTGTGGGCTTGCAAATGTTTGCAGCCATACTCTGCCTGTGTGCAAGTACAGAGAAGACAAGACTGGGTCATCTTATCACCTGTGAAATTTGTAGCCCATTGCTTAGGAGCTGCCACTCCTTTTCCTGAATTAGGCCCGGTTGCAAAATGGAGAGGGCACACGCGTGGCACCAAAGCCTGGCTTCTAGAGGGTGACAGGATGCTTTTGTTCTGACTTCTGATATGCTTATGTACAGCCTTAACCTAGAACTGTCTTCAGCAGACCAGTGGCATGATCACAGTACCATGATCTTGTCCATTTGCATTTCACAGATGTAGACTTCAGCTTTGACATTCCTGGATTTCATACTTTTGTGAAGGATCTGTGCTGGGTCTAACTCCCCGTTATTTACAGCAAAATTCAGGTTTTTTTTAAATGGGGATCCTTGGTTCTTTTCCAGATGTTTAATGTTTTCTGAGTCTGAAATGATTCTTGCAAAAGTATAAGTAAACCTATTCGTTAGCTTGGGTTAAAAACAAATTCAAGACAGTCCTCTAGGAACTGCAGCATCTGTTAGTCTTTGTCTCAAATGATCTTGAGAGAGTAAAACAGACGCTTCAAAATTTCCCATAATAAAAGGTTAGTTAATCTTCCCTATACTGTAATCAGACTGAAGTCTAATTTTAAAATATTGGTGCAACATTTGCTGGCTCAGAGACAAGCTGCAATCGAGCTGTGGTCAGCAGCTTCCAGGGTAGCAGGCGGTAATCGCTTAATCGCTGCATTTCCTCCAGAGCTAATCGGTGCCCTGGGCCCCTGTAGGATACAGACGTGTGCCAGGAGCTCGCTCCGCTCCTGCCATTGCTTTGACTCTAAAACTTGAAGATGCCTTTTGGTTCTGAATACAAAAGAGAGAGGCTAACGGCCAGTAGTTGCCACTGCAGGAAGATCAGTAGCCAGCCTGAGCTGTGTAGCGGTACGTAGGATGCTGTGTGCTTCCCATTCCAGCCTGAAGTCACTCCGTTATTTAGAGACGACAGTGCCATTCTGTAGGGTGGACTGTATTGTGGATTTTCAGTTTTAGCTAGAAGGCTGTTTTTTGGGTTTTTTTTTTCTCAAGCTCCTCTCGATCCACTTGTGGTTTAAACACTGTAAGTCATTGTTTTCCAGTTACACTGCATTGCTTATGTTTAGTGAAATAAAAACGGAAAAAAAATAATAAAAATAAAAATCCCAGCTTTGGTCCAATGCAAACCGGCTGTATAGTTCCAGTTCTCTTAAGCAGAAAATAAAGCCCTCTCCAATGAAACATTTCAAGAGCTCTGGTATTGATTATTTCTCTTCCTTTGCCTGTAGAGATCTTGTTGCTTCTATTAGAACAAACAAAAACCTCTGCAATACCTGCTGAGTTGGCTCTTGTTGGTTTGGGTTTTTTAAAATCCTGAAAGGGAAATGTGGCTTGCATGGCATTAAGAAAAACTTCTCCAACTTTGTCTTATATAATGTTCTTTATTCTCTTTTGTCGTTGGGTTCTCCTGCTTTGCGTCGAGGCCATGTCTTATTTCCTAAGAACCGTTTCAATCCTGGTACGAGGTGTTAACTTCAGATAAGGTAAAACCAGTGCTCCCAGTGCAATTTAATAACTCCTTCCCACCTCTCCTCAGTTCTGCAAATTTAGCCGTTCCATTTGTGGTATGAAATCAGCCATTATGGAGAGTGGCTCCTCAGTGTGCTGGTTTGTTTTTTTTTTTCTAAAAACTCCCATCTTAGAGCTGGGGAAAGGCAACATCTCCTACGTACTCTCTCCAATTACTGTGATCACCAAAAACAAACATCTGAATATCACTTGCAGTTCTGCTTTTTGCTGGTTATGCCGGGGAGATGGAAGGCTCTTGCGCATCAGATAGAAGTTGGTTTCCATAGCTACGCATCGATTTAAAAAGAAGAAAAAAAAAAAAAATCCAGCTCAGGGTGATGAGCAGGTGAGAACTTCAAAAAGAAAAATTACCTCAAATAACTGTGTGGTACCATAAAATCAGGATCAAGGGTAAATAAAGGCAAGCAGAGATGTTCTCTCTGTCTGGAGACGTGGTAATACAGGAGCAGCAGCAGCAGCCGTGTGTCTTTCAGTGGCCACAGTGGTTTTGCTCCCCAGCTGTCAGTCCTGCTGCGGCGGGGGGATCCCAGGGCCCTGTTCAGACCTTCATCAGAAGGTGGGGATCGCCTCCAGCCGCAGAGACGAGGTTCATAATGGCCGTGAGAAAAAAGAGAAGGTGGAGAATTTGGGGGTGCGGGTTAAGATGGTACCAGGGACTTTCTGTTACTGCCATGAGGGTGAAAACCTCGCAGCAGCAAGCTGGGGGGCTGCCTGAGAAGGTGCTGCCTTCTGAAACGTGCTTGCCCGTGTCTGGGGATGCTCTTTAGGTTGTTTACTGCTGCTGGAAGCACCCTAAAGCATAAATAACACTTCTGGGGCTCTGTGCTGCACGTTGGGGTCCAAGTGACCACCCGGCGGTGAACAAATGCCCTTGGGGTATCCTGCTGGTGTTTTTGCATGTGGCAACTCCTTCGTAACTAAACTTGGAGGCCCTGGGGTCTCAGCGTGGGTGTGAATTGGCCGTATCCAGCCCCGCGCCATGCCGAGGAGAGCTCGTCTGTGGTGCTGGGCAGCGGTGTGGCGTTAGCTGGCTTAGTTTGGTTTGGCCCTTCCATTTCCCAGCAGCCAGACGCTGCTGAAGCCCTCAGCAGAGGAGGATGGGAGCTTCTCCAGAGGCTCTCCCCAAGCTTTTGGTGGTGGTCACCCCAGGATTCGGGCTCAGAAGCCAGCGCACCGTCCCGCCTCCTGTTTATCTCTTCGCAGAGGTCCTGAACAGCGAGCCGCTCTGGTCTCTTGTCCTTTCCCTGGGGAAGAGGCAGTTGTTGCTGTGCTCAGCGAGCATCTGCGATGCGGGGAGCTGATTTGTGTGCTGTCACGGCCTGGATTCGGGCTCCTTCCCGGTACCGTTCCCGGGTGAGTCACGGAGCAGCACGGCTCCGTCTAGCCCCGGTCCTGCAGGGAAGCCTGGCGCCGTTCTCTGAGCGAGTGTCAGCCCTTGGACTCCGCCGCTGGAGCGGTGACACTAACAGTAACCGCTTCTGACTGTCTCGTGTTTGAAGCCTTCACTTCTCCAGAAGGATCATTTAAGGGATTTCTTCTGGTTTCTCTCCAGGGCCTGAGGAAGAGGCTGTCGCATCCCAGGAGATCAGGAGCGGGGCTGGAGGCAGGGCTGGGGCTGGCGCAGGAGAAGGATGCGACAGCTTTTCTCCAGCTCTCTCAGCCCCCCAGAGTTGTGCTCTACCGAGGAGGCTGAAGGCAAGAGGCAGGCAGGGAAGTGCTCCCCCATCCCGACCCGTGCTCCTACCCCAAGACCAGGCTCAAGATTTATTCTCTGCCTGCCAAATCTGCGGTGCATTACGCGCGCCCGCGGAGAGGGCAGCCTGTGCTGGCGAGGGCCGTGCTGCAGGAGGTTGCATCCATCTCTGTCAAGTGCCGTTATTAAACCGGGGCTGTGAAACACCCGACGCCCGTCCTGGGGCTGGTGATGCAGCAGCTCCCCACTTCCAGCCCTGGAAAGGAGCTTGGAGAGGGAATTAGAGTTGTGTCAGAGCTCTGTGAAAAATGCACCTCTCTCACCTGGGGAGAGGTGTGTGGCGGTGTGCGTGAGGTAGGGGAGACAGGGAAGCTCGTACACGCGGCCTCGTTAGGGGCTGCAGTAGATGAGCAGGTCTTGTGCTCAGAAATACACGGAGGGGGCTCACAGTTGGCATTTCTGCCCCAGAAGAAAGAATGAGATTTTTTTTTTTTGAGGGGGGGAAAAAATGCTTCCTGGGTGCACTGTGGAGTGGTGAGTGATATTCTAGTCGGTAGACCAAAATCTCGATGTGATTAAGTCAAACAGTCGAGGTGGGATGAGGTTCTGGTGGTGGTTGTGTGAAGGGAGAGGAGGTTGGAGTGGTGTTTGTTGGGGGTGTCACCGAGTGGTTCGGTCCTGACGTGTTAGTTTTTACAAAGGCTCTGCAGAAGTTGTGTTTTCTGGAAAATACAACAGAAATTACCCCTGATCTGCTCAAGGAAGTATCTTTATGAGACTTTGAGGGGCAGATGGAGAAGTAGGAGCTGCATGGCTGAGGGTCCAT